ATGTGTCTGGCGTGTGCCAGTCTGATTTCCGCGTCTAGTTCTCTGCATGCCTTCAGTGTTTCTATGTATTCCTCTAGCCATTCCAGGGTGTGCTGTCTGTGTCCTCCTGTGTTGATGTGTCCTGGCTGGTTGCTATTGATTTTGCTAGCGGTGCTATGTCCACGTGCATCTCATTTTCTCCGATTGAGATTGATGTGTTCCCGTCCCTGCTTTTCTTGATGTCTGGTGCTGTGCTTGCTTCCTAGGGGTCTTCGTCTTCATTTCTGATCTTTCTTTTTGTTGGCCCTGAGGCACTAGTCTTGCCTCTGATTGCGTTCCTTGGTTCCATTTCGCTTCTGGCCTGCAGGATCTCAAGGTAGGAATTTTCTGCCTCTTGTCCTATGTGATGAACATCGCTGAGAATCTGACTTTTGTACATTGTATGTTCCAGGGCGGTTGCATTTCCCAAGACGACTTTTTCATATCTGTGCGTGGCTCTGTGGTTCCTTTTTCCTCCCCCTTTTTGCCATCTGCTTCCATGTGGAGGGAAAACATCCGGTTTGCCTGCTGGTTCTGGGTCGGCTAGTGTCCATATCCATGCCGGGCTGTCTTTGAGGTCGTGAAAAACTCAGCCTGTGTAGGCCGGATCATTGATGATCCAAATGCCTTTCATGGGCTCTGCTTCAATGAGCATCGAGAGGTGCAGGGCAGAGGTGGTTGTTCCCCATGTGTCCCTTGATGCATCTGAAGCACATGGTTCGCTTTCGTGGAGATATAGACTGTAGTGACCTTCTGGTCTGCTCTGAAAAACCATTTGTCAGGCAATTCAGGTTGGCTGTTTCCTTTGAGCTCGATGCATGCGATTCTTGAGTTGATGCTGGGGGCGAGGAATCCTGGGGCTGATGAGACCCATTCGACCAGGGGATACCGAGGGTAGGATTCTTGCAGCCTGTCCTCTACCAACTGGAAAACCTCATCGGTCAGGTTGTCAAACTGAATCCAGAAGTGCTTGTATATAAGTGCCTGTCTGTGTCTGGAGGTACCTTGCATTGCTGCCCTGTTAGGTCTCCATATGGAGATGGTGGCTACCGAGCCTTCGCAGTAGAGTGCATGAACTGAAAGGAGGTAGGATGCATAGTCTGGATCAGCACACAGCACTACAACTGCATTCCTTCCTCTCTGTTGTAAAGCAATTTTGGGCTCAGCCTCTCGTGGGTTCTCCATGTTTTGGAGAGCCTTGCGGACTCTCTTCCTTTTTTTCTGCAGGCAGTAGTTGTTTCAATTTTGCTGGGAAGGAACAGACTGCTGCATGCTTTTCATAAAATTCATCCAGCACTGATAGATATTCCTTTGGTATACTCAGACTTCAAATTCTGCTTCTTCCTCCTTGCTGATTTGAGGACTTCCTTGGTGATCACAGGTTTGACGCGTGTTTCCTTTATCACGAGGTTAAGTACTTCTTAACTTGGGTTTTGTTCATTTGAATCGCTTGCCCTCTTGGACCCTGAGGTCGTGCCCAAAGTCGACCCTAAGGCTTTGATTGATCCTGAGGCATAGCCTGTGGTCGAACCTGAGATTGAACCTGAGGCTTAGCCTGTTGTTGAAGCTGGCAGCACAGGTGTGGATGGAACAGTCGACATGGTGATGTTCTCAGTCTTGTGCTGGGCAGAGCGTAGGGAGAGAAGTAGATGTGTACTGGACAGATGATGGGAGAGACGTTGGTTTTGGGATGGTGGTCTGGGGTAATGGGTGAGGTTTTGGGGATAGACGAGATTGGTAGTGGATCAAGTATTGAGGATGGATTTATTTATGAGGAGAGGAATCCGAAATTTTGACAGCGTTCAGCCTCCCCACCTGGGGAACGAGAGAAAAAGGAGCTTAATAATGTAGTTCAGACCAAGGCAATATGTTGGCAGCATTCAGTCTCCCCACCTGGGGAACGAGGGAATGGCAAGCAGGCAAAGGTGATTCAGAAACAGCCGGATCATCACCGAAGAGGCACTGATTTGGGCAGCATTCAGCCTCCCCACCTGGGGAGCAAGAGAATCACAATCAGACTAAAGAGATTCCGTTCAAACATGGACAACCACCGACATAAGAATAATTTTGGCAGCATTCAACCTCCCCACCTGGGGAACAAGGGAATAACGAGAAGGCAAAAGTAATTCAGAAACAACAGAATTGATATCGGAGAGGCATTGATTTGGGCAGCATTCAGCCTCCCACCTGGGAGCGAGAGAATAACAATCGGACTAATGCGATTCCGCTCCAGAAGGAAAAAGCATCGACAAAAGAAATGAATTTGGCAGCATTCAGCCTCCCCACCTGGGGAGCAGAGAAAGGAGCAAGCAAATGTAAGATCGATCCCGCTGCTAGACTACCAACAGGGCAATGATTTTGGTAACATTCCATCTCCCCTCCTGGGGAGCGAGAGAATGTAAAGGAGATAGTTGTGATTCGGATCCAGCAGAAGAGCTTCCAAAAAGCCGAGGATTTTGGCAGCATTCAGTTTCCCCACCTGGGGATCGAGGGAATATGGAGCACATGAAAGAACTTCCAATCCAGCAGAAGATAAATAAAAAACAATATTTACGTAAAGCAATCGAGAGGGGGTCGAAATTTTTGGCAGCGTTTCGCCTACCCACCTGGGGAGCAAGGAATGTAAGGCTGGTGGAGATTTTGCTATTCTATCAGTAGGTCGACTAAAAAGCTTTGAATTTTGGTAGTCTTAAAATTCCCAGTCTGGGGAACATGGGGGTGTGAGCCTGTTAATGGNGGTGGAGATGGTGCTATTCTATCAGTAGGTCGACTAAAAAGCTTTGAATTTTGGTAGTCTTCAAATTCCCAGTCTGGGGAACATGGGGGTGTGAGGCTGTTAATCGTGATGTTCGAGAAGACATGCAGCTATCTACGTGAGAGGGCTAAATCGCGTAGTGGAACGGCCAAACTGGAAAAAAGGTCGAAAATTTGGTGTGATTCAACCTTCCCTCCTGGAGCAGGAGCGTAATGTAGTGATAGTGTTAGTCTTTGCGTGAGTATAGGAGCAGTCAAGTTGAAGAAGGGGCAATGAACACGCGAGGATGAGTACTAGGGATGGATGGGGATCAGAGGAGTTAATGAGTTGGATTATGGGGGCGATGGGGATGTAGGTAGTGTACAGTCAGAGGAATATGGCGAGATGATTTCAACTATTTGGTGAGGCTTATAGATTAGTGGGGATGGGCAGTTAAGTATTGAGATCTCTGGCTGGATTGATAATTAAACCACCAGTACTTGGCCCAGCTATTGATGCCGGGCCTGGAATGCCCCTGCATGCCAATTTTTGCCGAAGCGCCGGGGTACCGTTTCAATTTTTTTTGGCTGGCGCTTCCAGCCATTGTGGTCCGGTACCCCGAAGCCCTAAAGGCGCGGCATGTTAACGGGGAAGCATCGCGGCCGATAGCTGGGCCAAGTACTGGTGGTTTAAATAGTTGCATTCGATAATGGAGAGGTCGTGCTGGTGATGGTACTGGTGAATATAAGTAATACTAGTATTATTCAAAATAAAGGTGAAGTTGACAGAGAGGATGGTTGGGGAGGGCGAGGTGTGAATATACGGTGTGAGGTGGGGGTAGGGCGGTTGAGTGGTCGGATTTGGGAGATGAGGTGGTGGGGGTGTGAGAGAGAGAGGGGGTGATGGGTGGGTGGGGGTGCGTGATATGAGGGTGTGGGGTGTAGAAGGGAGTAGGAGAGGTAGTCGTGGGAGGGGAGGGTGCTGGGGGTTTGGGCACTGGGAATGTCTTGAGTGCATTGGGGGTGGGAGGGGGGAGAAAAAAAAGGCGGGGGCGTGCGTAAGGGGTCGTATTTGCTATTGCTTTTCTACGGAAAAAATGGCTGTGTATGTCTACTTGTCCGTGCTTTGTGAGTGGTGGGGTCTTCGAGAGTCGCGTGTGTGTCCGCTGTAGAGTGGCGCTGAAGAAGCTCTCGTAGGTCGCTCAATTGGCAGTATCTGGTCGGTGTGTCCACCTTTATCCGATTGTTTGGTGTGGGAGAGTCGGAGCAACCTTACCTCGATGGCTTGATTCCTGTTGTTTTTTATCTTGGTTCGCCGGATTCTCCTTCGTCTTCACTTGCGTAAGTACTTGAGAGTCGGCTTCGTCGTCTGGTTGCTCTTAGGTTCGTTGGAGATCGCTGTAGTCTTCTGTCTCTTCTGGCTTGGGAGGCGAGAAAAGTTGCCTCCGTTGGCCAGCTTCTTCGCTTGCCTGAAATAACGTATTTGCTGTTTCTAGTCTGCTCTCCTTCTTCTCATTTTCTCATTCACTCTTCGTCTTTGTCTCTTCTTCCCTCTCGCTTCCCTTTTTTTCGCCTCCGTCGCTCTTTGTCCGCACTCGCGATCTCGTGAATCCCTTCGGGAGTTCTCCTTCCCTTTGCTATGTTGATAGTTGTGTCTTGTCGGGCGTAGATGATTAAAATGATGGAGATTATGGTGGTGGATAGTTGGCGAGACCGGCTATGGCTGATCCTCGCCACGCCCGAGGGCATGGCTGAAACTTCCCCTGTTTCGGGTCCAGAAGGAGGGGGAAAGTTGATTGACTTCCCGCGTGGACGTCGTGCGCGGCACGAAACGCCGTGGTAGGGCCGAAGGGGGTTACCAAGCGCTGGTCGATATTAGCACTAACCCTCGGCGCTAGCGCAAAAAAACTCGACCCCCTTGAATGCCTGTGCTTCCAAAATACATAAGTTGGGTGCATCTGGAAACTCATTGGTGTGATGGCGGTTTTTTCATCCCTACTATTTTCCTAATATTGCAGTTAGTTCTTTCTTGGCAGCTATTTCTCTAAGCCACATTTAGATGAGCCCTGGTGGGCAATCTCCAGTTAGGCATAATATTTTCTAGCAGTTAGAAAGAACAGTGTTTGAGCAATGTCACAACTGCTATCCAAGTTTTAACTGTTTATTGGAAGTTGTTTTCTGTTTTACAATGCACATGCTATTGCACTCCTCTCTGACTTGGACCGTGATGGTGGTGTTTGGTCATGCAGCATGTATGGGTGCCTAGGATTCTCAAACTCGCGGTTCTATGCAAAGCCAATCGCAGAGCTGATTACATCACAGGTAAGGATAGTTGAATGTGTTTTCCTTTTTCTCCCTGAGAAACTGGCCACCTCCTGACCATTTCTCATTCTTAGTAATGGGCTGCTGTTCACGCTTGACCACTTCATTGTATTGCAATTTCTCTGCTCTGTTTGTTGAATGTTGGGGAAAAGAAGATAAGGTCAGTTGCACTGTGGAAATGTGCACTGTTTAGCTGTTTTTTCCTCGGAGGCCAGCCTACTGCCAGCAGTGTGAACGGGCCGTACCCTTAAGACTGCGTCACAATCATGGCTGCAGTAATGGAACACGATAGTCAGTGGGAATGAGCCGCAACCTTAAGGCTGCGTCAGACTCAGACTCTTGCCAAGTGTGAACGTGCCATTGTCAGTCATTGGTTGTTTATGATTTGCCAGACGTCAAAAAATTACAACCTTTGTCACTCAAGGAAACTTAAATGGAAACAAATCACGTCGGCACACTGGATAGAAACGAGAAAACTTTGCACCAAACTTGTATTGAGTGTAACATCAGAACTCTGGATCCAAACTTTACATCCAGTTAGGTGGCCTGACTGCCCTGGGCATCCTGCAATAGACGGCACTGAAACAGCACAGTAAAGTGCCAGAAAACCCTGGCTAAGGCTGCGCCCAGACCCTCTTCATCAGGTGCCAAAAATAGTCCTCTTGCTTCTTCTCATCACTCCAAACCGGAAGTAAGGAACTAAACTGAAACTGCTGCTACCTCGCAACTTACACCAAGTTCACCAACCCAATTTTACCTGGGCGTACCGGGTCCAACTAGGCCCTACTGGAGTGTTCTACAAAATAAAAGTCATGTGTCCTGGGAAAGCGGACAGCCTCTCTTAACTCTGGGTCTGTGCATGTTTTCTTTCATCTGTTTTGCGTTTTTGTTTGGGTTTCCCACTCAAGCTCCAGTCTCCCACTTCGTGGCCGCAAGTCCATTAGTATGTGTTCTTGAGGTCCCAGGCTCGGAACCAACCACCAGTTAACTTGAAAAACAACAAACGCAGAAATGACCTACACTGTCCTTCGGGACATCCATTAAAATTGGAACGATACAGAGAAGATTAGCATGGCCCCTGCGCAAGGATGACACGCATAATCGAGAAATGGTCCAAAAAAAAAAAAAAAGAGGAAAAGACCTATACTTACCTCATACTTGGGCCAGGTCCCTTGTTCAAATCCTGCGTGAGCCAGATGTTGGGACTTTGCTGGGACTATCACTCACGTAGTTATTTTTCGTATGTTGTACTGATCATGAATCTCTTCAAGTGCACTAATTGATAGTTGAGTGCTGATTTTTGTTTTGTGTGTGATCGCTTCTTTCAGGGCCGAGAGATTCTTCAAAGCACAGTGGACCTGGTTGAACGGAATCTCAAGATGGAGGTGGGTTCACAAATCAATCTCCTTTCTCTCAAATCTGCTCTCCTGTTCGCGGTTTTCCCCCGAAGTAAGCATCGATACACCAGTAACCTGTTTAGCGTATTTCCCAACCCGCCTGTATAAGAGGCTTTGGAAAAACGTAGCAGCAGCCACAAAACTGAGAACTGGCAGTTCTTTTGATTCATTATCACGTTTTTTTCTTTTGCTGCCTTTTTGTTTTTGTTGCCTTTTTGTTTTTGTTTGCCTCCTTAAACTACCAGTACCTGGAAGATTTCTGTTGCCAATTTTTGCTGAATCAGCGCAGGCTACAATTTGGACTTTTTTGCCAAATGGTGCTGCCACCACTGCACCCGACCCTGGCAGACGGGCAATGCACGCGAAGCTTTGGCGGACCTCCAGCGCCACAATTTTTTTCCTTTTTGGCTGGTGCCGCCAGCCATTGTGGTCCGGTAGCACCGGGCCTCCGGAAATGTCGGAGTGAGCCATGAAAACCTTTGAAGCTGCCTGGGGCCTTTCAGTGGCATGCAAGGAATATGAGTTGGACTATATACAGAAAACCAAGTTACAAAATCACACAGATGTCTAAGTAGTCGTGTACAAGCAGAGAGCACAAATGCACGGAGATTCCATCCAAATAAGAGCAATACAATGAAGTCACGAGTCAATGTTCAAGCCCTCAGGCCACACCAACACAGTATCCAATCTCGCTCCTCTCTGTCTGGCGCCCAGCACCCAGCCTACACTACTTGCCTATCCTACCTACATCAGCATTCACGCAACAGGCTCACTTCAACTCTTGAAGACCAATGTACATGACGTCAACACCATAGCTGACCTCTCTCATGTACCAGGTACGTATCTCGTCTCCCCTCATCAGACCCTGACCACCCACACTCGCCTCCTTCCTGAAGACCACCGATCACCCTCTTACCCCCTAGCGCCCTGCAGCCCGTCTATGGCTGCTAGCGCTCCGCTGCCCAGCAGCCCCCCTCTTCACCTCGCAAGCGCCCCCACGCGCCCTGGCCGCTAACGCAACATGCAGCCTCTTGCGCAGCAACGCAGCAGCATGACCGCAATGCCTGCGTGGGCCAGAATGCCAGTCCCTGGCTGCCTTCTTCCCTATATGCAAGTGGCAGCATCTGTTTGGCTGTGCGTGGCCTGTCTGGGAAGCTTCCAGTAGCTTCCGGTCGGGCCCCAGTGCCTGCGCCCATTTACAGTTGGGCACGGCCTGAGTTTCCAGACTTGGTCCGTTTGTTGCATTTGCACAGGACCCGGGGTATGTACGTCGACAATGCTGCTTTTGCATAGGCCTGTAGCCACATCTACACCTACTATAATAGCTGTTAAACGTCATATCGCACGGCCAGAATTGCAGGCCGGTCACCACCGTGGACGGCGTGCATCGCAGGTCGATCAGAAAGTTTTCTGACCGGCCTGCAATCTGGTCCGTCCGCAGTGGTGACCGGCCTGCGATTTGGGCCGTGCGATATCGGATTTCGGAATCTGCCGGTTGCTACCGGAAGCCCGCCCGTTTTCTTTTTTCCGTCTGCCCACCTCTCCAATCGCCCGCCTGCCCGTCCGCCCGTTTTTCTAATCGCGGCCCACCCTGCCCACCCGTCCAATCGCCCGGTCGCCGGTTGGTACCGGAAGCGCCGAATCGCTCGATTGTCCGCCCGCCTATTTTTGTGTTGCCGGCCCACCCCTCCAATCGCTCGCCCACATTGTTCTTGCCGGCCACTTCTCCAATCGCCCGCCACTTTCTGAACGTGCGCCTTTCTGGACGTGCGCGTGTGTGTGCTCCGTGGCCGGTGCGCGTGTGTGGTCGGTGCTCTACCTGCGTGGTGGCCCGTGATCTCTCTCTCTCTCTCTCTCTCTCTCTCTCTCTCTCTCTCTCTCTCTCTCTCTCTCTCTCTCTCTCT